TCGGATAAGTGGGCAGCTTATAACGGCATTTGAGACCTGCTTAAAGGGTGCCAGCATCTTACAGTAAATCATAAGCTGCACTTTATTGATCTTCTCAGTCGCTTTGGCAAAAATTTAGGGGCATAATTAGCGGTATGGGACCTTACGGACTCTGTTAAACAGCTACCTTGCACAGTTCATGTGGAAGAAGGTGTTTAAGGAAGACCCGCTTTACAATATATAATCCCAAATTTCTGAATTTTATCCTGTCTCAGCTCTTCCTCAAGAAACATAGGTTCTGAGAAAGCTTCTGGATTGCCAACGCACTTTTCAGTGCAGTCCAATTTTTAGAGAGTCCTTCTAATGAGGGACGCTGTTGTAAAACTTGAGCTTTTTTTTTTTTTCTTAAAAGCACACATCAGCAACTCTCAGTCAGCGGGAGGTTGGACAAATAAACCGATTTGGTTCAGCAGTACTCAGACGTTCCAATTCCCTTCACGCGTATACAAATATGGCTTTATAACTCCATTTAAATTGCTTATGCATCGCACCCTTCACTCTCTTAACAGCGTGCAGCAGTCTACACACATTTTTTCTATTTCTTCGTGATCTGCAGTTGTCAATCTCTTTACCACTGTAGCTTCCTCCGGAAACTCGTCGACACCTAAATGGTTGCATTCATAGAAGGAATCGTTTAGAATGCGATTTTAGTCATGCTGAATGTCGGCACGTAGCGCAACTGTATGTTGCTCAATTGCTGCGAGCTCATGCAGGGTACTACTAGCTAGCACCTTGCTTGGGCTGATGGTTCCATCTCCGCCCCAGTGGGCAGGGTTTCTTCTGGATCCCTGCCCCCTTCTGGAAGAGAAAAAATGGGGCTACCAGTCTAAATTTGCTCCTTCGTTTTTTTATGAGGTTAGCTCGGAAACTTCAGTTTTCTCTTCTCGTTCTTCTAAAACCTTTTTTTATGCATTTTCTAAAGTGGCAGAAATCACGATTCCTGTTCTGCATAACCAAAAAAAAAAAAATCATTCTTGTAGGATATGTCTTCAGCGATTTCAGTCCAGAAAAATTACGACAGTTTCTTAAACATTCTGTATACTTTGGAACCCCTTTTCATTATCAGTGTGCAGTCAGTTGCTTCACAAAAAATTACTGACATTTTAATAAATGTTGCTTCTAACGCATTTGTATCGTAGGCCAATGGCGATGCGGCATACGCTTCAAGATGTTTTCGATTGGCAATGGCTGCTGATTCTACTCACGCGGAAAGTGCCAACAATTTAGCAGTGATATATATGCGAGAGAACAAATATTTAGAGAGTGAAGCTATGTTTCAAATGTCTGTGGAAAAGGGCCCTCATTTGTTCGAACCTCATTACAACTTAGGTCTTCTCTTCCATCAGGTAAGCAGAGAAATAATGACAGTCTTTTGTTAAAGTGCCTGGAGAACATACTCTCAGGGTAGGCGGCGGTAAAAGCGATGTATTGCCTACAAGCATTATAAAGCGTAGGACATGCTGGTGTTATGTAAGCCGTCAACGTGATTATTGTTATAGATGAAATATTCTTATTTTTAGCAGGGAAAGTGCAGCTCTCTTGAATGAACAAAAATGGGTACTGCTGAGAAAATAAGTAAAAATACATATAACACGGTGCTGGTGATTGATAATAAAGATTTGGTTCTAAGCCGTGCCAGCTTTCAATCAGAAAAGAAAGTATTTAGTGCAGCAAAGTTTATTTCATTTTTTGTACGCTTCTCTTTGTCTATTTTTCTACTATTTCTTGAAATGAGGAAGTGCATTACCTTATACTTCTATTTCTATACATCATAGCTTTTTGTTCATCGTACAGATCTACAGATATAGCAAATACTAAGGTAGAGTATTGCCTAGAATTACAGGTCCCTCTGCTCGTAGAATTCATAAAAGCTGCACTCGTAGAGCGCAATCGCTTGTAAACTTTTAAGCTATAATGTTAGTGGATCGTGTGTGCAAAGATCCCGCAACACCAAAATAGCTACAGGAGGCAAAAATAATCTTAAAGTTTGCACGAAAGAGAAGCGTGTGACTATTTAAACGTATTGAGAAAGATGGTTGCCGAAAATAAAACTTTTGAAGAGAGCTTTCTAAAGCAAAATAAATTGATAAAGCACCGCCATTTTCGAAGAGGCAAGTGCGTGAGGCCGACATGTATTCGCGAAAGGTTCCTATGCTGGTAATCACATATCGTTTCCATCACAAAGTTTTTTTTGAAGTCGTCGATTTCTCACCATCGTTGCTTTAATAGATCTCCTTTGTTTCAACACGCAAAAGTTTTATTCTTAATCAGAAACAGATTAGGTATTATGCTACGTTGTTTCAA